CAGGGGTTGCACCGGGTCAGTGGCCCCCATAGGCTTCTGGGAAGGGAGGGTTTCGGTTACATTTGAAAGGATAAGAGTTTTAAATTGTAAGGAAGCCAGCAAAAATGACTGTCCACTGAAGTGATTTCCAGTGTTTTTCTTGGTTTTATATTTTGAAAGCTGGATGGCCTCTTGGGGTCACGTCTGATGCTGTTTATTTGCTCACTGGTCTCAAGCACTGTGGCCAGCACGCTCAGCGTGGGTGCCTGTGACTGAGAGGCGGCCTACACGTGACCCTGTCCTCAAGAGCTCTTGACTCAGGCGGTGGGCAGCTGTGGCACAGATGTGGAAGGTGGAAGAGGGAAGGTGGTGCAAGACACAGGCAGGGAGGCAGACAGCGAGACAGTCAGGGTTCGGTCAGGCTCCATGGGGCCCTGAGAAGGGTTGTGCCAGTAAAGGTTTAACGATCAGCTCCCTTATGGTGGGCGGGTAGGGGGCACACGCAGGAGAGGGGGGAGCTCCAATCTGTAGCACTTGCCATGGTGTAGACATTCCCACCAGGACCAATTTCCAGCTACCAGCTTCACTGAGTGCAGATTGGTTAACTCCGTGACTGTGTGTGGAATGCCTCCCGGACGCCACAGAGCTGGCTCCGGGTCGCGACTGACTTTGAATCTTCTCTGCCACTCATTGCTGAGGCCAGAAGTCCCACAGCCAGAGGCTCATCTTCAAATCCAAGTTTGGTCCGTGTGGATAGGGGAGCTGGGGAGAAAGAGCCACCAGATCTACTTGTGTCCTTCGGGTCATCCAGTCCTGGCTCCATCATCTACTGATGCAAAGCCATGGACAACTGGGCTTCACCTCTCCAAGCCTCAACTTTCCTCATCTGGAAAATGGGGGTCATAATAGTACCGCTTCCCAGAACTCTGGTGAGGATTCCCTGAGGAGCTGCATAGAAGGAGCTCAGCTAGCATGGCTGCCTTCCTGTCCAGGAGGATGGAGCACCGTCCTCTCGCTCATCGCCTCACCTGAGACTCCTCTGAGAGGCCTTGAGGTCCTCAGGAGACCTGCTCTCCAGCCAGGGATTCTTGCTACGTCAGAGCTGGAGCCAGCCCAGCAGCAGCCTCAGGAAGTCACCAAGAGGATGACATCATTGCCCCAGAGATAAGCTATGGTTTGCCTCTGTGCCCTTGGCTTCACTTGGCTGACCTTGTCCTTGATAGCGATAAGCTATGGTTTGCCTCTGTGCCCTTGGCTTCACTGCAGGGGAAGCTCGGCTGACCTTGTCCTTGCTATCCTCTTTTTTTTTTATATATATATTTTATTGAGTCTTTACAGAGAGGAAGGGAGAGGCAGAGAGTCAGAAACATCGATGAGAAACATCGATCAGTCGCCTCCTGCACACCCCCTACTGGGGATGTGCCCGCAACCAAGGCACATGCCCTTGACTGGAATCGAACCTGGGACCTTTCAGTCCGCAGGCCGACGCTCTATGCACTGAGCCAAACCAGTCAGGGCGCTATCCTCTTTTTGAAAGGCTCCCTCTCTCGCCTGTGTAGAGTTCTCTGGATTCCCCTCAAGTCCCACTACAGAGCTTCATTCGGGATTGCCTTCCTACCCGCTAGTTCATATGAGGATGTGAATAACTGACGCCCCCCATTCGTTCCTCTTAAGGTGCTGCTGGATAAACGGAATGAATTCAGGCAATAAGGAAACGTGAAAGCAAAAGGGGGAGAACCAGAACGGGGCTAGAGGGACAGTTAGGGGTGGGGTAACAGAGACCCGAAGGGCAGCCAGGAGCCTGGGGTTCATGGCTCAGTCCAGCCACTGACTGCTCATTGTATGCTTTGCACAAGTCGCTCCCTTCCTTTGAACCTCAGTTTCCCCACCTATTAAGTTGAAGGAGGTGGACAGGGTGCACTCTTACTCCCTCAGTCTGAGATTCTGAGGGCACCAAAGGTCATAGGAAGTATATCACTGCACCAAAACCCACAAAATCAGTGGCTTGAAACAACACAAAATTATCATTCTCATGTTCTGGAGGTCAGAAGTCTAAAATGGGGCAACAGCCCTAACTGGTTTGGCTCAGTGGATAGAGCGTCGGCCTGTGGACTGAATGAAGGGTTCCAGGTTCAATCCCGGTCAAGGACATGTACCTTGGTTGCAGGCATATCCCCAGTAGAGGGTGTGTAGGAGGCAGCTGATCGATGTCTCTCTCATCGATGTTTCTAACTCTCTATCCCTCTCCCTTCCTCTCTGTAAAAAAATCAGTAAAATATATTAAAAATAAAATAAAATGGGGCAACAAAGAGAAAGAAAAAAAAATAATAAAATGGGTCAACAGGGCTGTGTTCCTCGGAGGCCCAGGGGACAATCTGTGCGCTGCCTCTTCCAGCTTCCAGGGAACGCCTGCCTTCATTCTAACTGCATCCCTCTCACTTCTGTTTCCCTTGTCACCTCTTCTCTGACTCGGCGCTCCTGCCTCCTGATGCGGACCCTGTGATTACCCTGGATAACCTAGGACCCTCTCCCCATTTCAAGGTCCTTAACTTAATCACCTCTGGGAAACCCCTTTTGCTGTAGAAGGTAACATAGTCACAGGTTGCAGGGGTCAGGAGGTGGGTATCGTTGGGAGGCCATTACCTGCTGACCATAGGGAGGCTGTGTTTTGCAAGGCGGCTCAGTGAAGCCTTGGGGACAGGAATGGTGGAGTCTACAGAGGCCAGACCAGCCAATAAAGGGCATTGTTCTGGGCAACCAAGCCCTCCTGAGCCCAGACCCTACCTCTCTCAGGTGGCTCCTTTCGGTAAGCTGGGCAGGTCAGGTGATCGGGACCAGAACAGTGGGACCAGGGATGCAGCTCAGCCAGGGCCTTCCTCCGAGGTTGTGAGAAGGTTGCTTTGCTTCTGGGTTAAATGGTGCTGACAGTTCCTTCTTGGAGTGCCTTACAGGACTGCCGCAGTGGGTGTGAAGGTGCCTGGCCATTTCCCATGAGCACCTGGGGCGGGTGGTTGCTGCTGTTGATGAAAGTGGTGGGAGGGGCTGGCTGGTGGCCTCAGGGATCAAAAGGACCTGGAAAGACTCCCAGAGTGAACCATGAGGAGGCCGAGAGGAAAGGGAACAGAGTGTACCAAGTGGTGTGGACCAGCCGAGGGCCCGCTCATCCTGACATCTGGCTTTGATCAAAGCCATCGTCAGATTTGGTTGTTTGTTAAAGCAAAAGTCAAGGACTCTGAGAAACGATGACAGGCTCAAGTCCAGTGATGATAGAGCAGAACTGCTGGTGTTTAGTTAGTGACAACTCCTGACTAATGAATTCCAATCAGGCCTCAGTGCAGAAGAGCACCTCCTCCTCCCAACCCCACAGCTCACAGACTCCCAACGCCAGCCAGTGCTGGGGGGGTGCTTGCTGCTGCCCAGGGAAGGGAGGGAAACATCTGTTTCAAGATTCTACCTGGAAAAATACAATAGACAAAACTTATATTAGAAAGGACTGGGGGAAATGTTTACAACATCTGTATAAAAAGCTAAAATTCTTACAACATAAAACCTTTTATAAATGAGAATCCCACCCATTAAAAGAATAACTCATTCACCGAAGAAGTAAAGCTGGCATTGAACATATGAAAAAGTTCAATCTCCTTTGAATCAAAGAATAAACACTAATATGCAGAGGAACAGGTGGGGTGGCTGGTGTTCCTCTCTTTGTGGCCCGTGATCATGGGCAGCCTCCAGGCCCCACTCTGGTGGCTGTGCAGGGTTGCCTGTTTGGGCCACACCCCCCTCCTTAACTCCTTCCTCTCTCCCTCCCAAACCCTCTCCCCACGGTGAACAACCTAGCGCATTGGACATGACGTTTCTGTTCTGGAACACACAACAAGATGGAACCTAGTCTTGCTTCATGACAGACTCGCATCACTGCTTCCTGTGAGTCTCTCTTTTAATAGCACCATTAAACTTGGGGAACCACCGTCCCAGAGAGAACTTGACCATGCCTCTGGCTTCCTCTGCCCAGGCAGCTGCCAGTCATTCTCTGACTTTCCCTTTCATCTCTTTGAACTCATATGTATATAGTGCATTTGTATTAATTTTATTGAAAGACTATCACACATATATTTGTATGGGACTTGGAGGTAGAGGACATATTCCAAAGGTAGCAGAGTGGTGGTGAGGGGTGAGGAAGGAATCTGGATATCTCCCACGTTTCAGTCTTAGGGGGCTCAGTGGTTGGTGGTGCCATTCAGTTAGGTAGACACAGGAGAGGAGAAGAAGCTGGTGGGAAGGTGATGGACTCAGTTCTGGGTGAAGCAATGATTTAAACTAATATTTGCTGAGTGCCTACTATGTTCTGGGCACTCTTCGTAGGGCTTGAAGTGCTTCACACGAATTATCATATTTAAGCCTCAAAAGAACCCCATGAGTAGGCACTATTCATTATCATGATCATTTTAAAGATGAGGAGACTGAGGGATGGAAACGTTTAGTAGTTTCTATCAACATGATGGATCACTCCTTTCTGCTACCAACCTGAAAATACTGGATACAATATATTAAAATATTAAATATAAAAGAAAATATTGATATAAAGCTATACTTATAAATAAAAGGCTGTAAATAAAAGCAAAGGGACACTCTCAGGCGATGGAAGTAAAGAAGGCTCAAAGCCAGAGTGGGCACACTAGACTTTTATAGATAAAACAAGCCCACTGAAGAGAAGCTCTCACTCAAAAATATACATATAAGCCCCACGAAGAAGAATAATGATAAGCCACACATGAGGAAGAGTATGGAGACAGAATCAGTAGATGAATTGGTAACCCCTAAATAAGAAAGAAAAATCAGAAAGACAGTACCAGTCTTTTTAAATGACAAGGGAGAAAATAAAGAAGAGAACCATAAGAGGTGAATACCTACGCAAGGTGACATCACTATTCAGTGTAGACTCGGGCTCCCACACTTAGGCTCATACTTGCTCGGCTGCAGGCACTGAAGTAGACGTGACGGGTCCATTGGACATCCCGGAGCAGTAGAAACTGGGTTTGAAGCGAGGGAGGGATTGCCTAGCTTCATCTTATTTCTCCCGCACTACTCTCTGGTCTGCAGCGCTCCAGGACGGGATGTATCCTCTCGACATGGCCACCTCCCCTCAGCCACTCACCACCAAGGTCGCCAGTTCCGAGAACAGCAGCGCCTTCTATGACTACGAGTACTACTTGGACCAGGCGGCCTTCATGCCCTGCATGAAGGACGAGGTGCTGGCCTTTGGCAAAGTCTTCCTGCCGGTCTTCTACAGCCTGGTCTTTGTGCTGGGCCTGAGCGGGAACCTCCTGCTCCTAGTGGTCTTGCTCCGGTACGTGCCTCGCAGGAGGATGACTGAGGTCTACCTGCTGAACCTGGCCATCTCCAACCTCCTGTTTGTGGTGACCCTGCCCTTCTGGATCACCACTGTGGCCTGGCATTGGGTCTTCGGGAATGTCTTGTGCAAGATGGTGAGCGCTCTCTATACCATCAACCTCTACAGTGGCATCTTCTTCATTAGCCTCATGAGCCTGGACAAGTACCTGCAGATCGTCCACGCTCAGCCCCACCACAGGCTGAGGCCCGGGGCCAAGCGCTGGCTCCTGGCTGTCATCGTGTGGGCGGTGGCCCTGGCTGTCTCCATCCCTGACATGGTCTTTGTGCGGATCCATGAAAACCACGAGGGTGTGTGGAACTGCCATGCGGATTTCGGGGGGCATGCGACCGTCTGGAAGCTCATACTCCGCTTCCAGCAGAACATCCTGGGGTTTATCCTCCCACTCTTCGCCATGATCTTCTTCTACTCCCGCATCGGCTCTGCCCTGGTCAGGCTGAGGCCCCCGGGCCAGGGCCGGGCTCTAAAGGTAGCCGTCTCCCTGGTGGTGGCCTTCTTCGTGCTGTGGTTCCCGTACAACCTCATCTTGTTCCTGCACTCGCTCATGGACCTGAAAGTCTTTGGGGACTGCGAGACCAGCAATTACCTGGATTATGCGCTGCAGGTCACAGAGAGCATCGCCTTCCTTCACTGCTGCTCCACACCCATCCTCTACGCCTTCTCCATCCGCTGCTTCTGCCAGTACCTAAAGGCTTTCTTGGCCGAGTTGTTTGGACGGCGCCAGGGACCATGCCCTGCCCAGGCCCCACTGTCCAGCTGTTGTGAGAGTAGCAGCCTCACTGTCCAAGAAGAAATGACCAGCATGAATGACCTTGAGGAGGGGCAGGCTGAGGACTCCCCCAACAAGGGGGCTGTCGGGGGAAATAAAGCCTCAGCGGCCATGCCACAGTCCGGTGAGAGCGGAGGGGACCCAGCTCAGCTGGGCATCCACCCAGCGTCTTCTCTCCAAGGGCCCCCGTGACCACGCTGCTCAGCCCAGAGCTCAGTTCTCAACCCTCAGCAGCACCCGCTCACTCCTTCCAGGACATCATACTCCCTGATCTGCTGCAGTGGTTGCCCAACTGACCTCTGTGTCCTATTGCCACCGTCTCCTATCATCTCATCTGCACCCGCAGCCAGAGTGATTGCAACACCTTCGGCCTTCACTGCCATCTCCCTCCCAGAAGCCTGCGGCCTCCCACCCACCAGGCCGCTCCTGGCCCTCGCGTTCAGCTGGGGAAATCCTGGTGTTGTTTTGTTTAATGCTGCAACCTTGGTGGTGGCTCCGGAGCCTGGCAGTCCGGAGGCTCTGGACATGCAGCACCTGGGGACCTGCCGAGGGGGAAAGGCAGACGCGGCTCCGTCCAGGAGCAGGGCTGCCCCCTCCACCCTGGGAAGTGTGGCGAGGGCATTCACAGCAGTTACTACCTAGGAAAACATCGCTTTTCTTCCCGGGGAGCCTGGAATTCCACCAGTGGCACGTCATTCCCGACTGGCTTTGTTATAAGCTTTCCTCACAGAATACACATAGCGGGCTTTTCTCTGAGGGAGAGAAACACTGGTGCAGAAATGAGAGCTGCTGGGTCAGGACAGGTCTCAGTCTTCCTACTGCCTCG